CACACACACTCTCACACACACTCTCACACACTCTCACACTCACTCACACACAATCACACACACTCTCACACACACTCTCACACACTCTCACACTCACTCACACACAATCACACACACTCTCACACACACTCTCACACACACTCACACACAATCACACACACACACACACACACAATCACACACACACTCACCTGGTCCAGTGTGCTTCCGCAGGCGTATTCCAGGTTACTCAGATGGAAGTGCAGAACTTTCTCCTCCAGGTCGGTGAACTGAATTCCAGACTCCTGCAGGAACGTCTTGTACACTTCCTGGATCTTCTCTGAACATCCGACACAACATGAACAAACAAACTCCCATCAGTTTTACTCTGACAGGACTCGACACTAAGGACTGTCCGATGGCCCAGTGTGAATGATGCTCGGGACAGATGACTGATCCGTCACTGCTGCATCCTCACGTAACATTATCATTTTTCATTGTTTTCAGGTCTTGCCAATTTAAACATTCAAGCGATTTTAAACCATTCAAGTGAAAGATGACGAGAAATACCTCCATTCAGGACTTGTGTGCAGTTTACAGTGCACACAGCACACACGCAGAGAAACACATCTCTGACAGCGCGCAAACAACTGAACTGACTTCACATTCGCGTCTTCTTGAGCTTGAACGGACAAATGTATTCAAAATGATGTCCAAATAGCTGCCCTTTCGAGTATCCTCGAAAACTGTCAGTTACGCTTTGAGTGAACAAAGAGTTGTGAAAGAAATGGATGTGTATCATTAATACAGTCGTGGCCTAATGGATAGAGAGTTGTACTTGTACTGTATAGAGATTTGTTGACCTGCTCTCTTGATTTCTCCTAAAGCAGTCAATAAAGGATAAACTAACCGAAACTATAACGGCTGATCAATGAACGAATGATGTCATGTGTGTGGATCATAAATGACAGTACAGATCACATGCCGTGCGTCTCACCGCCCAGTGGTGCATCCTGGGACTGTGACTTGTCTTTCCTCCAATCGGATACGGCGTCCAGCACGGCGTTAAAGTGGAAGTCCATGCGTTTGTCCAGAGCTGTATCGGTGACGCGTCCGCCTTCCTGAATGAGCTCGCAGCGGACACCCAGAGTGTGCATCTGCAGTCCCAACTCAACACAACAACAACAGCAGACACGTCACAACACCAGACCAAACCACAGCGACTGTGAGTGTGTGCGCGAGTATTTGTGTGCGTGCGTGAGCGTGCATGTGAGTGTGTGCGCGTGCGTGAGTGTGTGAATTTGTGTGTGTGTGTATGTGAGAGTGTGTGTGTGAGGGAGAGTGAGTTTGTGTGTGGGTGTGTGTGAGTACATGTGCGAGAGTGTGAGTTTGTGTGTGTGTTTGTGTGTGTGAGTGTGTGTGTGTGTGTGTGCGAGTGCGTGTTTGTGCGCGTGAGTGCGTGTGCAAGAATATGAGTTTGTGTGTGAGTGTGTGCGAGAGTGTGAGTGCGAGAGTGTGAGTGCACGTGTGTGTATGTGTGTGCACGTGAGTGCGTGTGCAAGAATATGAGTTTGTGTGTGAGTGTGTGCGAGAGTGTGAGTGCATGTGCGTGTGTGTGTGCGCGTGAGTGCGTGTGCAAGAATATGAGTTTGTGTGTGAGTGTGTGTGCGAGTGTGAGTGTGCGAGCGAGAGTGTGAGTGCACGTGTGTGTATGTGTGTGCGCGTGTGAGTGCGTGTGCAAGAGTGTGAGTTTGTGTGTGTGTGTGTGTGAGTGAGTGTGCGAGAGTGTGAGTGCATGCGCGTATGCGTGTGTGATGTTACCTGCTCACACATCAGGGCGATGGGGTTGTTCACGCAGCCATTCACGATCTGAGCTCCGCACCCCACCGTCACGCCCAGTGATGCATCGTCCCAAACTCGTCCTCCGATTCGCTCCCTGGCCTCCAGAACCACCACCTGTCCACCAATCAGAAAACAGACCATAAAGAACAAAACACACCTTACAAAACAGACTGTTCGGCTCTTCATTCTGACTGACCGGCCAATCTATATCAATTATTTTTATTTGCAAAAACAAATTATTTGTACAGAGATGATACCAACCAGTCCAGAACTACGACAACGTTTTATAATAAAGTCAAAATCTCTTTTCAAGGACAGATGGAAGGGAGCTGGGATGAATTTAAAAGTTAGAAATATAACAATGATATAACTCTGCCAAAAAGTTTTATTATTGTCATAAATCAATCAGTTAACCCAGTTTGAGCTACTTCAACCTTTAGATCATTATTCTTACTGTTATTAATGTTACAAACGTGAAGAATGAAAGGATGGACGCAGATGGTTTTTGCGGAGTAGGTGGAATTTTTACATTAATTAACTTAAATTTTTACTAACATCTTATGACTTTATATAGATCATGAATTAATCTCGTATTGCTACAACTTTATTCTCATAATTTTGACTTTATTCTCACAATATATTATGACTTTGGAGTAAATGCTGTTCTTTTTAACTTTTTATTCATCAAAGAATCCTGAAAAAAAGTATCACAAGTTCCAAAAAAACATGAAGCAGCACTGACAATAAATCAGCATATTAGAATGATTTCAGAAGATCATGTGACACTGAAGACTGGAGTAATGATGCTGAAAATACAGCTGCGCATCACAGAAATAAATTCGTTTTAAGTACAGTACATTAAAATAGAAAGCTGTTGTTTTAAATTGTAATAATATTTCAGAATATTAGTTTTTTTCTGTATTTTTGATCAAATAAATGCAGCTTTGATGAGCAGAAGAAACGTCTTTAAAAAACATTAAAAATCTTACTGATCCCAAACTTTTGAACGGCAGTGTAAATAACTATATAAAAATTGAGTTCTTCATGAAGTGAGTTCTTCATCAACTGTAAACATGATTATGTGTCTCAGTAAAGCCTGTCCATGTGCAATAGGGCTTAATCAGCTTTAATCCAGAAACACAGTGATTTGTGTGTGTTGTACCTGCATGCCGAAGTTCTGGAGCTGTCGAGCAGCAGCGAGCCCCGCGGCACCTGCACCGATGACCAGCACCTTCTGCACACACACACAGAGACTCATCATCACTGCAGAGCAGCGCTCACACAGCTGTGCTGATCATCCAGTGTGCTTCTGGGTAAAATGCAGGAGATGATGCTCTCCAGCGTTTGTTTCACTCATGACACGGCTTTATATGAAAGTTCAACACACTTCTGCGCAACAACAACATGCTCTGTGTGACGAGTGAAGCTTTTTTTACATTCTTATATTATTTTGATGACAATCAAGGCATTTCCCCTTAAATTCTCCACATTCTCACTCATCCCTATCCGTCAGAATGCCGGTGTTTGCCTCACGTTGTGCTGTGACTCGGGCAGCAGCGGCCACTTGATCTGCAGCGCTCCGGTGTTGATCAGACCCTTCCGGTTCATGAAGTACAGAACCCGGTCCAGCTCCTGCACGCAGCGGACGCGCACCAGCCCACGCACGATCACGTGAGGAGCGCACTTCTGCAGCGTCAGAACCTCCTGCACAGAAACACCACAGAACATCAACACAACACAGCCGCTCTTCAGAAAGCGCTGTCAGAGACACACAGCTAGTGAGTGAGCGATTCTCTGGGGTTCATCTGCCCTGACAGACTCAAACGAGCCCAGACCTGCTCAGACCCCAGATCTCCTGACGCTTCAGAGCTTAAAACATGATAATGAGGAGAAAGTTAAAGCCTCCCGAGCGTCCTGCTACAGCACGGAAACGGAGGAGCAAACATCGGGCACCTTGCAGTCTCGGCTCCAGGCCGCCAGCACCAGGTTCCTCAGCGCCAGGTACATGGTGGGATCTCTGGAGAACTCGGGGAACTCGTACAGCTCATCCAGCTCCATCATGTCAGGTCTGACACACAGGGCTTTCCCACACTCGTTCGGCTGATAGAAGGGCTGGAAGTAGGGCGAGAGTCCGGGAACTACACACACACACACACACACACACACACACACACACACACACGGTGACGTTCACTGTTCACACTTACAAGCCAATATCTGCTGAATAAACCCCAATTACAAGAAGACACCACAGTAAACATGAACTAATATATATCAGCATACTTCATCAGTGGTTAATCACAGTACATTAAAGGGTTAGTTCACCCAAAAATGAAAATTAGCCCATAAATTACTCACCCTCAAGGCATCCTAGGTGTATATGACTTTCTTCTTTCAGACGAATCCAGTCGGAGTTATATTAAAAATCGTCTTTGATCTTTCAAGCTGTTTAATGGCACTCAGCGGGTGTTGCATGCATCAGTCCAAAAGAAGTGAAATAAAAAGCACCCAT